GTGAGCTGCAGTCAAATATTTTCGGTAAAATTCAGTGTGAAACAAGTAGGAAACATCGATGTTTTAGCCTGCGAATGATCAGTCTCTTTCTAATATATGTGCATTCTGTGAGGATTGTCTCGATTTCTCATTAAGTTATGAGAATTGTAAATGAAGTTGATGGTGACCAGGAGTGGGATCGATTGCAGTCTCAATCATCAAAGAGACGATAAAATAAATAATACGGAAACGAATCTGAACTTTATCTTTTTTCAGAAGCCATTGAATATCTGATCTGTGTAGCTACGTATATAACGGGAAAGCGTTTGGATGCAACGGTTTCAGGATCCAGTCTCATTGTGATCATCAACTCTGAGATGCATGTTACCTTTTTGTTATTCGAAATATGAAATATTTCACGACGAGATAGTCGTATATTTTGAAAATTCTGGACTGACTATGTTTTTAGCCTACTGGTTGGCGTTCGATCACCTGTAAAACACAGAGCGATATAAACCATAATTTGTGATGATGTTGGATGATCATCACTGTATTCATTATGAGAAATGTTTCAGTTTCTTATTTTGATCGCTCCTTATATGATGCATACAACTTATTTTACTTAAACTAGAAACCAACATTTTAAGTTTCTTTTTTCTCTTCAATTTATCACACAAGATGGGACACATCATGAAATATTTATTCCTGTGAAATGGATCAAAATTGGCACGCTGGTGGAGTTTGAAGTCATCGGGAGTATTTTAGATCTTATTTAATCAGCATTACCTATTTTCACACTTCAATTAGTCACTTTTGTTTCAAAAAATTAAAGTTTCCATTTGTACCTTTATTGGCTAATATATGAATTTGAGCCATTCCTGTCAAATGACGTTTCATTTAGTATCAATAAATACAAGTTGATTCACTGTGAAATACAAAGAAAGAGCGAAATCTTTCTCTTACTCAAGTATATGGTCACAATACGAAAGATGACATGATATTAATTTCAAAATGATTAGACATCAGTTAGTTGATTGTGCTAAGACGAGAAAACGTCTGTGTTTTTCTTTTTCGATTCATGTGATATTGAATTTTTCTGAGCCATTGAAATTGCTGAAACATTCTGTGTCATTTTGAATACCTTGAAAACGATTGCCTAATTTCCGAAATCTTTTCTTTGTCATACATGCCCAAAAAATTGAGTTCTTAAACAAGTCACGCTTGAAAATTACAATCCATCATAGCCAGTTTCAAAATTGATTTCACAGTACATAAATGTGCCTTTTCTCATGAATATGTACATTTGGGAACTACAGAAACATATTCAGTTAACAATAAGGTAGACGACTGAAGAATAAAACATTTTGACAACTAGAATAATCATTCGATGATCTAATGATCAGACCGTCTTCAATATTTATCGAATAAAATATCACTTTTATCGTCGATGAAATTTCTTTTCTTTTATTCAATAACTTGAAATGAAATGACCTGATTCTTTTCACAGAAATTTGTGCAAAATACAATACAAGTGAAGCATGTCAAAAAGCATCAACATTGGATGTGACATGTATTTGGTGTGCAAAAGCCAACACATGCATTGAAAGTAATGATCAGAATACTCATCAGTTTAAAGTGAATGATTGCCGCGTTGAAGTAAGTACTTGGAAAATTTCACAGGTCGTTTTCAATATCACCACACTCCACATTCTGTGTAAGTGAATTTACTCGGAACGGCATTTTAGTGCTACGAATAGGAACTGACTCGTATACTTCGCTCGGTGACTAAATTAAAGCTTATTATACTTTGACGATATCTAATCAGATATGATAACGAAGCTTTCTTACCACGGAAATAGTAATCAATGGATGGAAGTGTTCCTTTACACTTATGTTCAGAAACATAATGACAACTTTTCATCTCATTTAATGTGTGATTATTTCAGAAATCCGATAAGAAACAGTAAATCTATGTGGATTGTTGCAAAATACAGATAAGTTTGAGTAAAGAACTTGTGTAATATGTTTTTTCAATTAGTTAGAGGTTGTAGACTCTCATTGCTGAAGTTGAGAAAAAAGGATTTCTGATTTTCTGCTAAGGAATATGTTACCTGGATGAATTGCTTCAGAAAAGCCGTCAATTATAAATTGATTGATCTGTATTCGTATCGTGATTAGATGTGACCATCGGAACACAAATTTCATCACACAAATGAGTAATCAGTTAGTTGTAGGAGAGTGTGCACTTATCACACTGATTCTCAAATCTATAGTGGACGTTCTAAATGATCGCACAAATGCAAATGGTGTAAATATTCGTTGGATTCTCTACTATCTCTTTTACTGACTATAGTGAATAATGATCAATAAATTAATTGAATAATATCTGATGTTTAATGATGATTGCTACTGTTTCGTTTATTCAGGTGAGACCGGGTGTTAGTGATTTGAGCACACCAACACCAATCAAACACATTGAAACAACTTCGGGGTTCACCGAAGTTCAGGTTAAAGAAAACTTGAAGGAAACCACCGAGGACACTGATCAATACTCAGTAACTATTTGGTATATAATAATAAATGTTACTGTTTTGTTTTTCTTCAGACCATGACTACTCAGATAAACGAAGAGAATAACCAGAACAAATCATTTCAATATTTATATCTTGTGATACCTCTGATCGTCTCCTTCTCTCTTGTTTGCATCGGTTGTGCTATTTGGAGATGGTTGTATTGGAAAAACAAAACTAATGAATGACGTTCAGAAAAATCTTATTATTCTGATGAAATTGTTTCTATTTCGTATTTTACTTGAAAACTTTATATTCAATTATTCACCTTAGTATTTTGAACAATTTCATCATGTATTTATGCGCCATTCTTTGCTGGTTTACTTACTATCTGATGCAATATTGTTGATAAAAGATCAGACATGGTTTTCCACATTTGCGTACTTGTTTTCGCTCAATAAATATTGATCTATTTCACAAGTGTTTCACATTTTATTTGTGAATGAGTAGTATTGTATCTGTGTGATTCTGTGATAATTGCAATCAGTAATGAGAACGTTGTGAATGTTTATTTTGTTCAAGTCTTACAACTGAATAATATCACTCAGCATACTCAACAGTAAGTAGGTTGAGCTTAGTTGTCGGAACACCCTATCAATGCATAATTAATAACTCCCATCAATCGTTACCTGATTGTTCACTGTCATTAAATGTCAGATGACAAACCATCGTTAACTTTGTGTTATTTGGACTGACCATCAGTCCTTCCATGATTTTATTTATTATATGAGCTGTATGCGGTCAACTGCTTCATTCAAAGCTTAGTCTCAAGAAAGATCCAAGAATTCAATGCTATGATTATAGTATTGATATTGACATGTGTTAAGTGCTGTGAAATGATAAAATCTTAGTGTTGCACAATGAATCTCAGTTTTTCTGGTACACACACATTGCCGTTGACGTAGAAGATATTTTTTTATCAACTTCATTATTCTAAAGCGTGCTATGAAGCTGATTTAATGGGTTCCGATCTTCACATTGCTAGATGCAGAACAAAAGTCATACTTTGGTGTACTTAGAACTTACTCACCTAGTGTACATTCTGTACTTAGTAACTTGAACCTCGGTGTGGCTTTGAGAAAATAATCGTTGATTTAGACGTATACCGATTGTTATGAAAGAACGTTGGAACCCTAGTGTGAAAAGTAAATTTCCGGTCTATTTCGCCAAGCGCGATGATGTATCCACCAAGCCTAATAGATGTTTTGCCATGGAATGTATGTTGATTCGTAAAGCGTAGCTTTACAATACACGGATCGTAATCATGAAGACATCATTCAAGAGTTGTCACCAATTAATAGTGCCTCGAAAGTACAAGAAGAACTTGCTCTTCTCGGTTAGCGCATTTGAGCATCTAAAATACAGACACCACTCGGATGATGAGTAACAAATATACAATCATCTCAAAGTTTATCAGTAGTAATCATGTCAATAATTACAGAACCTTAAGTAAAATTGATTCCGGTGTCATAGATATGAGTTATAACTCCAAATAATCTACTTCATTCACTTGTCAACAAATTAGTAGTATCACAACTGACTTTATGTAGCCTCAACTTTTCTATTATCTGAAAACCTCTGGATAAATTGTCTAGACATTCTCAAGCTTCACTTGTTCTTTGAGCCTATTTTATGATTACACTCTGACATATACCTAAAAACAATATTCAAAAAGTTTCTATTTTAATTCCAGACTCATCAATTCTCAGGCTATTGAAAACACACTGACACGAAATCAGATTTTTCAGCCACAATTTACCAATTCCCATATCGGTTAACACTGAGAGGGGCGCTGTAGTCCATCATCGAATGATGATGACGTTTTACTCTAGTGAAAGTTTCGTATTCTTGTTTCTTTTCTATTAGGAGTTTATGCATATTCCTATCTGATCAAACCTCAATGCACAAGACTATTTCCAAATTCTAACGAATCGACGATTGAAATGAATGTTGATGACACATAAAACTTGATTTGATGGCGAACTCTTATTTTTCCTTAGAATTCTTGATCAACAGACAATAGGTGAAGAAATTATGATAACAGGAAGTATGATGAAAAACTGTGGTTGAGAAATCATATTGAAATACTGAATTTCTGCTTTCGATTCCCGACGTAGTATGCTCTTCAGGCTTCCTATTTTCCGTGTCCCTTTAGGATTCTGAGTTAGGGCTTACCTTGGGCCGATGCATCTACATGCCTGCTCTTTCGTTGTAACTCACTGACTGACTGACTGACTGACTGACTGACTGACTGACTGACTGACTGACTGACTGACTGACTGACTGACTGACTGACTGACTGACTGACTGACTGACTGACTGACTGACTGACTGACTGACTGACTGACTGACTGACTGACTGACTGACTGACGGACTGACTGACTGACTGACTGACTGACTGAATTTTCACTTCATCAGTAACATTTGATAATCAAATAAACAACATTTAATGATCAAAATGAAAACATATATTTGTAATGTTTAATATATATAAACAATAATATACTTATATACTTACATAAATTCATCTAAATATTCAAGCATCTTTTCCAAGAACTACAATGCAACAACAACAACACCGATGACAAAAATGGTGAAAATAAAAGAAAGAAAGTTTGAAAGGTCTCCAAAATGCATCTGCTTTAATGTAATGGGTCTATTCTCCTCATAAAAGCTTCTATTCTTCTTCTTCTTTTTCCTAAACCATCATTGAATACTGGCATTAGATCATCTTGTTAACATGGTAACTAATTGAAAGCATAATTAATATAATGTACTATTCATGTATTCACTGTACAATCCTGATAAGTTATGACATAAATGATAAATTGTATTTTATTCTATTTCATTTTTGAACGACTATTCACTGATTTGATTACCCATTCTATTCCTTCCTAAAGAAAATAATAAAATTTAATATAAACAAATTATACTACTGATAAGTATATGGAATTTGAAAATGGATAAACAATGAAGAATGATGAATATCATTCAACGTATGGCGGTTTTTGTATTTTATATATGCTAACTAGTGACTGGCTTCAAGAGGTATTTCCTGAAGTTCTAGTAAGAAGCAGTGACCATTAGAGTTCAACCGGGTCTATTGTAAAATGGTAACTTTTATTGAAGATAATGGTGAATTTTTCGCTTAATTTCGTGGATTAGTTGAAGTTAGACATGAACACCGTTGGATGCTGACCGGTTCAGTAATTTAGATTTTAGGCGTTTGCGCGCGAGACCAATAGGTCCTGGGTTCGAATCTCGCGATGTACACTCCTGAAGGATCGCACAACAGGACGAAACGGTTATTCAGTACTTCCAGGTTTTCTATGATGGGTCTAGCTTCAATGGACTCATGATCTTAATTGTTGAGATTCCTTAAATCTTTGAAAGAAAATATCATTTTGAAAAATTTCCTAAAATTTTAGTCGAATAAATAAAAATAAAAAAAAACAATAATAATAATAATTCGATCACATTAATTATTGACTACAATAATAGTTACCATGACAACTTGAAATGATGAAATATGAACATTAAAAAATAGGAATCAGTATTGATTTTTTTATTTTTCTCTTTAGTAAACAATATCATAGTTAATTTCACTAAAAAAATCCAATAAATTTTTATATATTTTAATGAAACATTTGTTTTATATGTTGACTTCATTGTTGCCATATGAAAAGCGTGAGTCAAAAAAAGAAAGAAAAGAAAAAGAAAAGAAAAAGAAAAGAAAAACGCCTAAATAGATAACATGGATAAGAATAAACATTAGAAAATTCTGAACTTGAATACAAAAATGAATTGCTGAAAGTGAATAGGATACATATTGAGGAAAACATCTAACTATATCATAAAGCAATCCCTTATCCCTTGAAATTCTCAAGACCAAAGGAAAAGAAGAAAACCAAAGAAGAACACATTACACTGAGAAATGGGGACAGATATGAAAAGAATGTACAAGAATTGGATAGAACTAGAAAAGAAGGTCGGTTGGTTGTCTATGGTCCATTGGGAGTAACAGGCATCAGTAAGTAAGTAGGTAATAAAGAATTGATTAATTATAAACCAATAATCATGTTGTCATGACAAAATAAAAATCAATTGAATAACCCTATTATTTTATATGTGAGTTATATTCATAAATCTCTATTATCATTATGTTGCTGTATTGAATTATTGAACAGTGTTGATTGATATATAAGATGATAGATATTTATATAGATAGATAGTTTATAGTATTCAGTAAATTATTTTAGAAGAACTCAAACTTGTGGATGATCCATTGTGATTTATTAACTTGCTTTTATTCATATTATCTAAAAAACTTTAATGTATTCTATTCTTGAATAACTAGTTAGATATGATTCACTTGGTATTATTTGCTTTCCCGACCGTTGTTGCTACCTTGACGTGGTGGTCAGCTTATCTATTGTGATGAAGCAACTGAGCTATACTGGCTGAAACAATCGTTCCTCAAGGTCCTATCATGCCACACAGGTCGGTTGAAGAGCGGTGAGACTAAAAGCAACAAAACCAAGGTTCGAAGGAGAAGTCGTACTGCTGACTGTACAGAGGTGTGACAACAGTAAGGTGTTTCCTTCAGACAACCAGCATAACAGCGATGCTGTCTTCCCAAAAGGAGGGGTGGGGTTAGAAAAGGTCGACCTTAAAAATGCACACCTCGCCTTATCACACGGATATCCGTCTCCGGCGGTAGGGTCCCAACAAGTACGGAGCTAACACAAAAATTACTCATAAAAAGGTCGTGTGTGACCGATCTCAAGCAGCTGTCCCTTGGGCACTGCGGTCACGCTCTCAGGTCACTAAGACCACCTCTAATCCAATTTCCTTTTCAGGTACCTCCAACAGAACCCTTCCACGGTGTGGGCAACCGGGAAGTGATAACTGCCATCATATCTCTAACAGCACTAAAGACTGTATTATTTGCCTGTATCTTCCCATTGTTGTTGAGGACTGCAATTCATTAGTCTTATGTTGACATATCTGCATCTTGCACGGATTGTATCGATATTGCCTTAAGCCGCAAGCTTTTTAAGCAAAGATGGATGGTAGCTAACAGTGGAATCCAAGACGCTGAATGTACCTGCATCCCAGAGTTGATGTCCACTCCGGGACTCAAGACAGTCCGCATAAGATGCACATATGCCAAAAAGGGACTGATCAATTACTGTCTTAAATAACAAGGGGAAGATATAAGTAAATAATACTAAGTGAAGATAAACTTCACCCCATTACATAAGCAAATGACTATCAGGACTCAGTAGCTAAGTGAATAACGCGATGGCGTTTGTAGCAAACGGTCTTTTTGGGTTCGAGTCCCGAAGTGAACATCAACTCTGTGATTCAGGTACACCTAGCTGATGAGTCCCAAATAGGACATAGTGTCGCACATCTTGGATTCCACTGCTAGCCACTATCTATCTTTGCTTATAAAACTGCTACGTGAATTCTAAAGTTTAGACAGCTGTAAAGAATCTATGACATGATTGAATGGATATTGTTTCACTACAACTGATGTTGTTTCTTTCTTGAAAACTGATCGTCCAAATATGAAACATCACTTCTTATTAAGATAACTCCTGAAGCCTTTGACCTAAAGGTCTAATCCACAAGGCAATAGAGTAACTTAAGGAGATGCAGTCCCATGATAGCCGGTGACCAATAATTGGTTCATACTCCGTTTGTTCCCTGAAGATCCTTCAGTTGATGTGCACTATTGGTTTGGAATCAGGATTTTTCAACCCCTTTATTTGGATCCTCCATATCCATTAACCCAGTTAAAGCGCCAAACATTCGCTTTTCGTCCTCTCGATTTTGTGATCAATATCCCCGCTGCGAGGAGGCAGTAAGTAGGACTTCGCTGTCAGTGGCTGTATGCACATGGTTGTGTGAGAATACTTAGAGAGGGAGAGTTGACTCTTCCCACTCTCAGCCGTACCAGGGCACTTAGGGGCTACTCTTTAGTACAAGAGATTTATCCTACGGACTGATCATAATTAAATAATCACTAAAAACCTAAAAACACTATAATAGTTCCTTTTGTCCTGGTATGGAACTTATTAACAGTGTAGATCCACGACTATGCTAGTGGCTGAACACAGAAACTTCAGACCTTGTAAAGAGAATTTTACTTTCATGATAATGAGTTGATATACAATGATTCATATTGCTAAATTCTATCAGTTTACAATATTCTCTGATTACCAACCATTTTTATGAGTTGATTTCACTTTCGATTTCATCAATTCTAGAATTACGGGTAAAGAACTTTATAGCTTGAGGATTTATACACTTTGGTCACTGTAATCAATCAAAGTCTCAAAAATGTTAACATGTCAATCTAATTAGTACAATATCAGATCATAAAACCAGCGACTTTGAGAATACTCATAATATACGACTAATTCCATACATCAATCTTTATATATTTCATTAAATTATTCTACAGAACTTTTGAATAAGTCAGATGGAATTATATACTGCCTTCATAACTGTTTTAACTTGTGACCTGTGTGCTCTGCTAATGTATAACGTAACAATACCGCCAATTAAAGAGTATCAAATTATTGATCGGACCAGTGACGACTAAAACCTGTGAGAGCAGTCTAGAGTCCCTATTGGCCCTGTTTTGTGCCTAGCCTAGCCCAGCCAGTTAAGTCCAGAACATCAATCTTAGCCTCTGCAATATGAATCATTTATTTTAGGCATACTGAGTTTATATACAAATCAAACAGACCATATCGTCCCAAAAAATACGAAACAACATTTGTACAAGATTTGGCCAAATGTGGCTGTGAACATTGGAGGTAGTGATTGATAGACTGGACATAATTCAAGAATCGTAAATCGTATAATAATAGTTCATAAGTCAAAATAAGGCTAATAATAAGAGGGACAAGAATATGAATAGGTTAGTTATTTAACAATTATACGATAAAAATATACGTATAGTATTGGTCCATAAATGGATCCCAAAAGTTACGATTCATTATGCTTATCGGGACATAACAATAACCTTTGAATTTAGTTTACCATTTGGTTTAGATTGAGATGAATTCCCAGAGTTATTGTTAAATGACTTATTATTCTAATGTAATCATCAATTGACAAATAGTTAAATAAAAATGGAAGAAGTGAGCTGAGTTATTTATCATACAATAACTGATTGTCAGTATTCATAGTAAGCAATGTCATCTTAACTTGAATTAAGAATACAACGACTTTTGATCTAATTATCGCAACTGTTTTATGTTGATATACTGGAAAATGATGTGTAGCTACGGGAGAGGGATCTACAGATGTTACATTTTTGGAAATGAATAGTTTAATTTCCCTTGGTATTGTTTACTTGAATCTTTCTATTGATATTTAGCATTGCAATTGGTCAGTGTGTCATTAGCATATGTGCATACTGTGCGAATTGCTTTGATATTGTCTTAACTCGCAAGCATTCTAAGCAAAGATGGATAGTGGCTAGCAGTTTAAACCTGGATATGAGACGCTACGTCCTATTTAGAACCCGTCAGCTGGATGTATCTGCATATCACAGTTGATTTTCACTCTGGGAGTGACTCGAACCCAGTACCGTTAACTTCAAACACCATCACGTTATCCACTTAGCTACTGAGTCCTGTTAGCCACCTAAATGTGCAATGGAAACATCAAAGTGAACATCCAGCTGACGAGTCTCAAATAGGATGAAGTGTCGCGAGTCCCGGATTCCACTGCTAGTCACTATCCACTTTTGCTTAGAATAGTTTAATTGTCTCGTCTTTCGATAAAACATTATCAGCACAAACCTAGAGTCCGTAAATTTGCGTACATATACATAAATTTTGAGTATCGCACATCGGTAATACTAATAGAGAAGTATTTTGTAAATAATCAACCAATCTTATAAAATTGAAAATAAATATATCAGCTTACTTGTACACCATTGCCAGTAAGAGCTGAGCAGCCTTGAATTTGCCATGGTCTATCCCTAATAGTTAGTAATCCAAGCCCATCGGATATTCTGTTTGCTGGTTCAGCGGTGAGCAAGTCCTGTTTATTGGCGAACACTATCAAGGGAACTCCAGCTAATTTATCTTCTGATAAAAGTTCCAAGAGTTCCTATGAGGGAAATACATTCTATGAAACAAGAAGTATAAAAATGGGCTAAATAATAGCTCAATTTAAGGAAAACATTTTATTTCATCTAAGGTAATAAAAATAACAGAGGATCCTTTGGTGTTTTAGGTAGCAAAACATTTTACACTGTCCGGAGAAATTTTTTAATTCAAGTCCAGGTCCAAGAGGTCAGAGATACAAGTTAAAATTTATAAAGTCACCTGAATGGGTCACTTAAGTAAAGAACGAATCTGACAACACACACAAATAGCATCAACATATTACTTACTTGGCAGCGAAATTAAAATTGCGGGAGAAAATTTATGTGTTATAAATGGATAAAAAACTATCATATGCTACCTCCTTTCATTAATGTTTAGATAAAAGGATGAAATATTTTCCAGAATTCAACTTCATTGTTAGTTTTAGATGCTGTTTCATCACTGGAATAAACTAACTGTTTCATGGACATTTAAACAATAGCAACGTTATTGGTATGAGAAGCAGGTATTTTACAATATGTAGTAAGTGAAACGCAGAAAGTAATCAACAAGAAACGGGCGGAATAAATATTTAAAAAATAGGGTAAATGGGTGGTATGAGTAGATTTTGTATCATCCCTAGATCTCAAAAGCCTCAACATTCCTCGATATCACATCTACCTCCAATTCCTTAGAGTTGTTTGATATTAAATTTTTATATATTAAACGTATTTACGTAAACCTATTTAATACTATTGAATTTAAATAATTTTAGTGCATTCACACGGTGTATAGTATTTTAACCTTGCCACTAATTATTCGCGGGATATTGTTGTCGGGAAAATTGACTGTGTAGATCAGCCATGAACAAAAAGACCTGCTACTCCAACAGGTCAATAAAATTTTCCCGAACAAGGGAACAAATATATGCTGAACACACCTTGGTAAACTATTCGTAATTAATGCAAACACTGTGAATCACAGCTGTACAAAATACTTTTATTGAACCATCAAAGATATTGTGAATAAATTAAGATGTCATTGTCAATCACTAAAACGGACTGAACTATCTTGTTTGGATAGTTGTATGGATATTAATGAGCGTTAAAAATCTATCCCCTTCTGTGATACACTTAAATCACTAAAGCATTTGGTTTTCAGTCAGTAAACTGTAGATTTTTGCTACTTTCCATCTACTTCAGTTTTTGTAGCCGAGGAGTATCACAATGCATCGCTATAAAATTCATAGAGTTAAGCCGAGTAAATAAATCTGCACTTTGTACACCAGATAGCTGATCTTTTGTGACAAAATTTCAAATAAGGTGCATCAGTTCGCTTGTGTTTTATACTAATAAAACTTTAATACCTATTTAAAACACTATATGTTAGAAAACCACATTGTTCCTTCATTGCAGTTAAAATTAGCCTGTATTTTCAGAAGACTACCTGCCGCTGTCGCTTGTAAGAGATCACCAGTGCCTATGAATTATTGCCCAGTCATTCAGAGTGCTTGGATGTAACAACAAGCCGTATGATGAGGAGCAATTAAGCAACATTAATATTAGGCTTCTTTGAAAACTTCTTTGAATAACTATTAGTCACACAGATCGTTAATAAGTAGACGATACCAATAAGTATTACAGTGCGTCCAGTTTTACCGGAAGCTGCAAAAGTATGAACGTCGTAACGTATTATGAAGTGGTACATACATACATAACTATGTGTCTTAAACCAATCAGATCCATCGAAACTAGCTATGGTGGCAGCACAACTAGAAACCCATTACACAACTCATAATGGAAAATCATTTACTGGCATATTAAGTTTTCAGCTATTAGGGTGATGCTACTATACGATGTAAAATGTCTTATATGATCTAGAACAGAAACTAGTCATGATTTTTAATCACATTACTCATAAAATTAAAGAAAATCTCATTATCTGAAAAAAGTCCACATTAGGTATCTTAGCTAGACTGTCTTTCTAATAAAAACTATTCTTGATCAGATTTTCATATTTGATATATTTTAACATATTTCGAATAGAAGTAAATGAATTCATCCCAGGGCTACAGTGAACATCCGCCATTTCACGGAGCGTTCGTTCAGTTGGTTGAGATAAAGGTTGTAAGATCAAATCGACGGAAATTAATAGAGCAACAAGATTAAAAAGGCACCCAAATGAAATAAGTAAAAAATAAATGTGACAAAAAATTAGCAAATTAACTGAAATAAAACTCTGTAAAATGGCATAGGATTAGTTAATAATGAGAAACTGCAACATATTATGAGATGATACAAAGGCGAGATTAGCGAGTATGAAAAGGTCTACTTATGTTTGCAAAACTGTAGTTTCCTACCAGTTACTTCAGTAATTTTGAGTTGTTATTCATTATGGACTATTTGATCAAATACCACCGCCCATAACTGGCCCGATAAATTTTGTAATAAATGACAAATATCCATGAATAAACAAAAAAAAGCTATAAAATACAAACGGATAATAGGGATTGGCAAAGTCTGTCACTGTAAAAAAAGCAGTTCTTTTTACATGTGGATAGTTCCCAAGCTCCCAACTTTGTGGAAATTTCGGGGAAAAAAATTTTTTAAAGCAGAACTTACTTCTCCGGTTTCCTCAAAGCGCTTTTTGTCTGAACTGTCGATTACATAAATCTAAGACCCTATAAAGGAGAAGAGAAATAATTACCAAGATATCTGTATTTTCAAAGTAGTTTTTCCAATATGGGCGAATTTTTCTCTGTCCTCCAATATCCCAAACATTTAGTTTGAACCCTTGTGACTGAACGCTCTTGATGTTAAATCCCTGAAAAAATAATAAATAATTTTGTAAATACTTGAGTGGGAGTTGTTTGAGTTATATCTTCAGATGCTAAATGTTTAAGCAAAGTTGTCTTTCCTGCATTATCTAAACCAAGAAGAAGAATTCTTATTTCTTGTTCTGGTTTGGATTTCAATCTCCTCAAAAGACTTAACAAGCCCTGGAAGGTTATTACATAACAGTCGTCATTAATAAAGTGCTACCATTGCAAAAGTTGACAAACCACTAGTTGTTATGACAACAACAACAACATCAGCAATCAAATAGGACTAATATCCAATATACTTGTGATTAGCTCATACAAACCTATCGATTTCTTTTCACCCGCTTTTTGTCATTTCGGCATGGTTCTAAGTATTTATAACTGAGGAGAGATCCTAGTTGGTTCTTACTTTGGCTACCTTCAAATTCCAGTACTAGGGACACGACACACGTAAGACAGTTCCACTAACAAATAGTCGAACCATCAAAAGTTTAGACTGAACTAAGCATGTATATGACGCCAGAAGATAAGGTAAAAGCAGCAAATCCTCACAATCAGACCATTTATCATCAATTGATCAGTTAATATTCGAAGATGTCCATGTCCAAGCACAAACAGTTAGTATCGACCTTGGCATAGTCGACATTTAGCGTGGTCGTAAACGAGGTACTTCAAGGAGAGGGACGAGGATGCTCCCTATATTCCTCATACTAGGCCGGCCTACATGGTCACGAGGAGGTATCCTCATCATGTTGTATATTCCTAAGCGTGGTGTAAGCTAACAGCTATTGACCACTTTTTATAGTGAGGATTATGGTTCGGGAATCTACCCTATACAATATACCTTTGGTAAAGCACACTCCTGTAAAGAAAAGATCCAGTGTTAATCAATGCATAGAATGCTTGCTATATGCTATATAAGGATAAGAAATGATCTGACAATGGTATTCAACATGCCAAGTACCTCAAGTCACCCAAACGTGAACACCCTACTGGAATATCATTATCACAAACCTTGGGTCAACCCCCGAGGATTTGCATACTAGGTGCGAAATCCTATTAATTATTTCGATTCCACATTCTTGCTCATTATCAGTTAAACAAGTTAATTATTTATTCTTGAAATAATCATCTATTAGCACTTAAATTACCAATTTAATATTTTCATATTGCAATCAACTGACCTATCTCCTCGTAGTAAAATGTGTGTTAGTTTTACAAAACTGCAACATCCTAAGAAAAACGCATTTACTGGAACTATAAAACTTATAAGTCAGCACAGAGACTAGAATTTATGCAGTGAGATGGCTGGACTTCCACCGTTGCTATGCTAGATCTGTTTCTAAAACGAGAAACAACCTGACTGCCCAAGTCATCGATTCCCTTCCGGAATTCCACAATGTGTTTGAGGCGTTTGTAGTTACTAATCTGACGAATGTTGATGAATAGGTACAGGTCGAGAACAAGAAACGACATAACGCTATTAAAGAAATCCAACCCCCTCCCTAAAAGTAGCCGAAAAATTAATCACTGATCACAGTAACAGGCCAGTTGTTTTTCAGTGAGTGAAAGCTCAGAACCCAAAACTCGTTTTGAGTATGACGTTAGGTTGACAAGAAAGACACTTAATCAGTTTATGCCTCAGAATTTGTTGCTAAAGGTGTGTATAATAAGTAGTCAAACGAATTTGAAACAGATGCAAACTAGGCTGCTTAAAGTAGTATTTAAAAGTCCTAATGAATGAGACTTGATATTACAGAATGGACAGGAGATTTTCGTCTGTAAGAACTTGCAGCCTTCAGACAATTTAAAAAGACGAGAAGCTGGGAAAAAAACTTAAAATAAGAGCCTGAAAATTGTAATTTTTTGGATTGTGAGGTTTCAACAGGGAATAATGCTGAATCCACTATGGATGCAGCACGAAGTCATGTAAATAGGCTTCGGATACGTTACACAAATACTCGAGGCTTGCTCAATAAGCGATCTGAACTTGGTGTAAAATTCGACTTTACCAAGCCAGATGTAATCTCAGTTAGAGAATTTTGGCTGGTACATAGATAGTACTAAACTTGATATTGCATGTTGCACGTAAAAGTCAACAGAATTCAGAAACGTAAATGAGGAGGAGTAGTAGCTCTATTCACTAGGAACACTATCCCGCCTGTAGCTCTCCTAGAGTTACTGCCGGTCGTAAGCCCGGGTAAAGGTGGAGGTCCTCATCCCGCAGAAAACTAACTCACTAAAAAAACGCTAGCCAGAAAAAATAACTCAAACCTATTAAACTCTGCCATTGGAGTCAGATCTTCATTTAGAAGAAATGTCCATTTTGAATGTTTTATGTGTGAAAATCCCTCCATGTATACGCTTGCAGTTTATTCTTATTGATACCTTTAGTTGTACATTTTTGTTAGTCTTTTTCACTTAATCTGGGTTGATAACATTTGTATTTTATTATGGTTTTTATTTCTCTTACGCCCTCACTAAGTTTCTTGCTGAACTGCATTTGTGTTGTTTTATTTCATACTTATTCTTGGCGGCAGCCATATTGGTTTGTTCATCCCTTTGATTGTGTTGCGTGTATTGACTGGAATTGTGCATTTTTGATTGTGAATTGAAGCACGCTTCAAGAATTGAAAACACCTGGTGTTATAAAGCAACCAAATATTATCTTTTGAACGAATCTGCGTGATATATCCATACAGGATAGAATAACACTTCTTTGTTGCTATTGGCAATTTTCAGCATCCTTTTTCAACTTCCGTATTTATTGTAATTTAGGTTTGATTAGTTGAACAATTATTGGTTGGATAGCAGGGTGGTTATATCTGTTCAGGTAACTATGTGCATTTGAATTTATGATGAATTATAGAACCGTCATTTTATCCGATTACTTTGTTTTAGTTTCAAACGGGAAAGATCGCGTATCTAACCCACCTAAACAGCTATTCTCCAGTCCAAAACTTAGTTTGGATCTTATAACGCGTCATGGTTAAAGTCAAGTTCCTTCGGAAGCCACGAGTCCGATGCCACTTCTAACAACCAGAGGAACAATTCTTATAGGTACATGGAAAGTCCGGACAATGTGGGAAACCGGGAAGACCAGTCAAATAGCAACGGAAATGAGGAGATACAACTTGACAGTACTGGGAATCAGCAAAACCCATTGGACCCAAGCTGGAGAACAAAGGCTAAATACGGGAGAGATGCTGCCATACTCCGGTCAAGAAGAGGAAAGTGCTCCACACACTCAGGGAGTTGCTCTAATGCTGTCCAAGCAAGCACGAAATGCACTTGTAGGATGGGAATCCCACGGATCCAGAATCATCAAAGCATCGTTCAAAGCATAGAAGGAAGGGTTCACAATGAATGTTATCCAGTGTTATGAACCCACAAACGATAGCAACGACGACATTAAAGATCAATTCTATGAGAGGCTGCAATCAATCATAGAGAAGTGCTCAAGAAAAGACCTCACCATTATGATGCGAGATCTAAACGCCAAAGTCGGAATAGACAACAGCGGATATGAAGATATCATGGGATTGCATGGACTGGGAGAGAGAAACGAAAACGGGGAAAGATTTGTAAATCTGTGTGCATTCAACAAATTGTCACAGGTGGCGCAATATTTCCATACAAACATATGCACAAAACTACATGGATCTCACCGGACCACACTACAGAGAACCAGAAAAATCATATTTACATCAATTAAAAGTTCCGAAGGACAATGGACGATGTGAGAACCAGGAGAGAAGCGGATATAGCTTTAGATCACCATGTAGTTGTGGCATATTTAAAACTGAAGCTAAAGGAAAACTGGACAACTTGACAAGCAGCGCTGAAAAGATTCAACACAGCCTTCCTTCGAAATACTGACGAACTCAATGAATTCAAGATAGCTCTCAACAACAGGTTCAAAGCCCTACAGGATCTACTGAAGGAAGAAGAAACTACTATGGAGGATAACTAGAAACGTATCAAAGAAGCATTAGCCTCAACGTGTCAAAAGGTTCTTGGCCCCAAGAAGCATCATCACAAGGAATGGATCTCTATAGAAACACTGGACAGTATGAAAGAAAGGAAGAACATGAAGACAGCAATTAACAACAACCGAAGACGAGCAGAGAAAGTCCAAGCACAAGCTGAATACATAGAAGCAAACAAGCAAGTGAAGAAGAGCATTAGAACCGACAAGGACAAATACGTGGAAAAACTAGCAACGACGGCAGAGAAAGCCACAAGAGAAGGAAATATGAGACAGCTTTACGATACAACGAAGAAACTAGCAGGGAAATATAGTAAAGCAGAGAGACCAGTCTAAGACAAAGAAGGAAGACCAATTACTGAGATTCAGCAACAGCGGAACGGATGGGCAGAGTACTTCGAGGAACTCCTGAATAGGCTTGCGCCAATGAATCCACCGGACATCGAAGCAGAACACACAAGTCTTTCAAAAGATGTCAATCCACCAACGACAGAAGAAATCAGAATGGCCACCAGACAAATCAAGAGCGGGAAAGCAGCAGGACCCGACAATATACCAGCCGAAGTCAGACATAGAAGTAACTACGAACATGGTTCGTCTTCTATTCAAGAAGATTTGGGAGGAGGAACAAGTGCCGATGGACTGGAAAGAAGGACACCTCATCAAGATTCCAAAGAAAGGAGATCTGAGCAAGTGTGAAAACTACAGATGCATTACGCTACTGTCAATACCGGGTAAAGTCTTCAACAGAGTGTTACTGAACAGGATAAAAGACGCAGTTGACGCTCAACTTTGAGATCAACAAGCTGGATTCCGTAAGGACCGGTCGTGCACAGACCAGATTGCGACACTACGGATCATCGTCGAACAATCAATTGAGTGGAACTCGTCACTCTACATCAACTTCATTGATTATGAGAAGGCATTTGACAGTGTAGATAGGAGGACGTTATGGAAACTTCTTCGACACTACGGAGTTCCTGAGAAGATTGTCAACATTATCCGGAACTCATACGACGGACTACAGTGCAAAGTAGTGCATGGAGGACAGCTGACAGACGCATTCCAAGTAAGGACCGGAGTCAGACAAGGCTGTCTACTCTCTCCATCCCTCTTTCTTTTGGTGGTCGACTGGATTATCAAGATCTCGTTATCTGAGGAAAAGCACGACATATAATGGACAGCCCAGAACCAATTAGACGACTTGGACTTCGCAGATGACCTAGCCATCCTATCCCATACACACGAACAAATGCAGACAATGACAGCCAGCATAGAAGCAGTCTCTTCATCAGTAGGCCTCAACATACACAAAGGGAAAACCGCGGTCCTCAAATACAACATCGAGAACAGCAATCCAATCACTCTTGATGGCGAAACTCTGGAAGATGTGGAATCCTTCACATGCCTGGGAAGCATCGTCGATAAACAAATAGGTTCAGATGCAGACGTAAAGGCGAGGTTTGGCTAAGAAAGGACAGCATTCCTTCAATTAAAGAACATATGGAACTCAAAACAACTTCCAGCCAATATCAAAGTCGGAATCTTCAATACGGACGTCTACTGTACGGAGCTGAAATTCGGAGAACTACAACAACCACCATCAAGAAGGTACAAGTATAATTCAGTAGCTGTCTAGGCAAGATACCCAACATCCATTGGCCGGATACCATCAGCAACAGCCTTCTGTGGGAGAAAACAAACCAGCTTCCAGTGGAAGAGGAAATTAGGAAAAGACGATGGAAATGGATAGGACATGCATTACACAAATCATCAAACTGCATCACAAGGCAAGCCCTAACTTGGAATCCTGAAGGAAAGTGGAAAAGTGGAAGACCAAAGCACAAATTCCGTCGGGAAATGGAAGCGGATATGAAAAGGATGAATAAGAACTGGAAAGAGCTGGAAAGGATTGCCCAGGACAAGGTTGGATGGAGAATGCTGGTGAGCGGCCTTCACGAGGAGTAACAGGCGTAAGTGAAAGTAAGTAAAAGTACTATCCCGTTCACCATTATCGACGTGTGAATTAGTTAGCTGCCGCTTGAAATGGAAGGAACAAGAACTGCTGTTTGATTTGGTCTACCTCAGTCTAAGCTGTGAGGTATATGAGTACTTACTAGATAGTTTTAATACTTGGTCACGAAGTGTCCACGGTAGATTGGAAGAATCTGAGAAATAAGCTGTCAGAAAATTCCTTCAGGCAGGAACCAGTCAATGCGGTTATCAAATGGGTCGTAGTACAACATGTGAAAGAAGCGGCTAGATACGACCCGGACTCTAAATGATACTTATTATATCCTATACTGACTCATTGTGAAGATGACGCCACGAATCTCAATTTCATCCCACCCCTGGGTTATATTGGTCATGCAGTTCTAACTTTTTACTTCCTTATAATTGTCAAAAAAGAGCACGCGTCCACCCAACACAAACCCAACGTCTGGAAAGCAAATATAGGAAATATTGTACACTCAGCACCGTCAGTAGATTACACAATAAAGCCAGAGCCTTTAATCATAACAGCATGAGATGTATCCCAAAATGTATACTAAAAGTTTTATTCACCTCACATCCCTTGGAATACACCAAGAGGTCCGAGAAACTCTCCGCCGGGTTTCAGTAGGGAGGTCCGCACCGTTCTGCTTGCGAGGAGAGGAATTTGGGAAAGACTTGCGTTACTGGGTACGGATGAGACAAAATTCTCAATATAGAGAAGCTTGAAATGCTTGTGCCTCGACCCTCCTTATGTGTAAAAGGTTGTACGAAGAAAAAATAGCTAAGCAATCTATAGAATGCCCCGAACTCTTGTATTCGCACATATACTAGGAGACTAAAAGAATAGGAAATATTCCAGTAGTATGAGGAGACAGTAGTGCTCCATAGGCGACGAATGACACTGAGCTACCTGTTGTCCAGAAGCATAATGACTTAAGAGTCATCGTTAGCTGAGACCTAAAATCTACTGCACATTGCCGTACCATATCCCTATGATCAATACGAAGGGACTTTAGCCATGAAGACGCTAAAACGTTTTAATGTTGTATACAGCACTCGTGAGTCCTAAACTTGAATACTGAATACAAGCAGCTAGGCCCTGCTTAAAGAAAAACAGTGACTTTTTGAAAAGGTTCAGAGAACAGCAACTAGACTGATTCCCGGAATAGCGAAGCTCCCGTATAACCATCGACTGTTTAAGCTTTTCCCGTTGTCATATAGAAGAACTAAAGGTAACCTGATTACAGTTTTCAAATTACTTGGTGATAACTTTTCACCTGACATACACACCACTCATTTTTTATCTTCCAAAGCAGAGGATTTACTTAAAATAATTCGTAAAATATATTGGATATTAAATCACATGTATATTGGTTACCGTCTATTATGAATCAAGGACGCGGTAAGGTGTACGGTCTTAGTTTCCCAACTAGAAAGCCTAAGAACGAAATAAAGGTTCCGTTAAATGATGTTTTCAACGAAGAATCCGATAAAGAGGAGAACTACAAAGAACTTGTAGGGGTTTCATTGTTTATTGACGAAATCTTTCCAGAAACCAGCCGATTATTCGCAAACGACTTGCATAGCTCAGAATAGGATTAATCGAAAAGTATTAATGCGTTCTATGTTTTTGAAAATATTTAGGTAAAAACAGAGCTAGAAAAAGCTTTCGAGGAAGATCCATCAGTATTCCAATACGATGAGTATTTGGACGATATACACGATAAAAAAGCGGAGGATATTTCTAAAAGAATCGTCAAAACAGTGGGTCTTTTAAATCCTAATTTTTTCAGTCTAAATATGTTGGCAGACTTATAAAGGCATCCAATGAGCGCAAACTTGAGAGAGAGCTATGTGTTGAACGGAAAGCTCAGAAGCAAATTGAAGCAGAATCTGATTTGTTTAACAATAAGGAGTCATTCGTTACCTCAGCGTACAAAAGTAAATTAAGTGAACTTCGCGCACTCGTGGAAAAACGCAAGGAAGAAGAAAAAAGAGAGAAAGTTATGGATGTTTGCAAACAAGATGGTTTAGGGGGATTTTACCGGTTTATGTTTGATAATCAAGATAAAACATCTGCGGGATACTCAGTAAGATCTCTTTTTACTGGCTGCCACAATTGCTAGCTTTCGTTTTTACATGACTCATACTACACAAAACCCCGTGTACTTACCTATCTTTTACTGAGAAGCATGTACGAAGTCTTAGGGAAACAAGGTTTTGATAGCAAGGAACATCATGTGTAGTCTACTTTCGGGTACCCATCTTAACTTTGAATATGCTCTGGGTAGCATCAAGCTTAATCTTGCATTCCGATAACTAGCAAATGTCTCGGCTTAAACGAGTCGATGTAAGTGAATCGGTTACAACTTCCGTTTCAACAGGATAAACCAAATTAGGTCTAAGGCTATTTACGGACTTCCTGAGTGTAGATGTCCACATATGCGGACACGTCACGAGACTTTACAAAGCTTGTGTAGGGTCCGAGAAACTTGTTGCTGAAGTGGCCTAACGAGTTGGCAACAGTATCTGCATCTGGTAGTGAATGAAAGCTGTTCAAATTCGTCCAAACCATTATGTGTTAGTGGAATACTCTGTAAAATTAACGACACACTGACTCGTAACTTTTAAAGTTGTCTTGATCATTGGATAGAGCATTTCGAGGACTAGCGTACCAGTGCATTATAGTGATCTAGTCCAGATTGTGGGTCTCAATGGCTTTTGACACCAGACATAATTTAAAATAAGAGTTAGTGTGATGAATTTTAGTAGAAATAGGTCTTTCTTAGTTTTATTCCTAGATCGACCAACTCATTATTTCCTATCCATGTTCCTGTAATGTTAAGTTTCATAACAATCCTACATTCTGTGGGAGCTTTAACACAGAATCATGTAAACTAGGTAGGGTTTAATCCTAATTGCACCATTCGTATTTGAGTTATTCATTACGTACATACTCAGAAACTTTAAAAATAGTACAAATTAACTAATTTACTGGGTACTTAGATATGAGCTGTACTCTAAGTGTAAGTTGATGAAATTACTCGGTTGCCTAAATCGAAGTAGGTAGAGGGGGATTCGGTTCCACAGCTAAATGCCTAAAAGTCGAGCGCCTTACCGACGTTTTGATTGCACTCTGACTAGAATGTAATGTAACGCTTTCAACGGAGAGTTATAAGAACATGGCATTGAAACATGTACCATATTAATACTTGGATGCAGTGTGATTTGTTTGATGAAAGATTGGCTAGATGAGAGCGCATGAAGAAATTTCATCTACGTTGCCAACCTTAGGCAGTATCCGTCAAAATGTCCATTTTCTCTATCTAGATTTAATTTCTCACAGATATAATTCTGGTAATAACTTTACTCAACTAGCTTTACAGGGATCGCCCCCTTATATAGGAACTCGTCGACTCAAAATTCACAAACCACATAGTTCTCTTTAATAAAGGGTCTGAAAACTGCGGTTTCCTAAACGTCTTGAGTTGAAATTCAAAATTTTCTTTCATAACATTTGTATGAATTTCAATTTGGAAATAACTGAATGTATCAATCATCTCACGTATCCTGGGAGTATCGTGGACTCTTGGTTTTTAACTGAGACGAACCTGGATACAAAAGTATACTGGCTTTTTCTAACCTATTTGTTATATGATATAAACAATATACTTGTCCTTCTGTCAAACAGACTGCACAGAAGTACATACTGTGTTGTCTTTAAGCTATCAAATACAACTTTTAAAGGTAGAAGTCATTTGTATATTTCTTTTAAGGGTTGTTTGCATAAAATGGAACTATTAGGGGAGTAATGTTGAAGATTAGTGCGTTATAGTTGTAGGTAAATATGTCCAATCTCCTGGGTTGAGGGTGAATAACAAACCCGCCTTTTTCCGAGATAGTTTCAGTAACAGCCTCATTTTTAATACGCGTTCCCTACATAAGTCTGAATAGTTGTTTACCGTTACCTATAGCTGCTGTCTTTTCCATCTCCCTAAGGTGTTATCTTGCTGTGGCTTTTCTACGTTTAGTAGGATGCAGAAAAATACGTGCTAGAACTAGAGCATGATCGAGTCTAAACATGTGCTCCAAAATGAGCGTCAGTCTCCAGTCGATGGTTAATGACCTAATGATCTATTTGAGTCCATCGACGCTTCAGTTGTGGAGGTCGCCACGTCAGATAATGTTATTCCCTGTGTTTAAAGTTGGCGTTTGCCAACAATAGACGGTTAACTGAGTATAGCAACAGACGATCGCCATTATTTGTTCTCGGTTTGGTTTGATTTACCTGCTTGAGCATTAAAATCATATGCCACTATTACTACACCAGAGCGTTCAGCTTTTTGAAGGAGGCTGGATAGCCTCCTATAAAATTCATTTTTAACTTCAAGCTGCAGTCAGTTGGAGTGTAGGTAGAGACAATAAAATGGCAATGGCTTGTATCCCTATATTTTCCAGTTCCAACTGTCCCGTTTAGTTGAAGAGGACAAAGGCGACTGCCTATTGGAGTCCAGTCTAACAGAACCTTTTCTGCTTTAGAACCTAATGCTATGCCTACACCTAAGAGGCCATGCGAAGTAGCAGTGGGATCTTCAGATACTGGGAGGGTAAATCATCCCGATTCTCTATATTGATAAGGTGGAGTCAAATGAATGACCGTACATGGATTATTTATGCACGTTTCGGAGGTTCTAAAGTCTTGGCTAAAGAACACTTTTTTATCCGATATAAGGTTTCAACATTAAAATCTCCAACATGTAGTTTAGAGCATAATTTCTGGAGACCAGGAATAACATTTCGTGAACTCAAACCATTATCACTGGTATTAGCATTGACGGCACGTGTTGATGAAAATAAATTAGGATTAGTCGTGGGGAATAAAGACCTGTTAAGAAGTGAAGGAAGCATTTGATCGTCAACATGATGACCACGGGTGCTGGTGAGGGCGAATGTCATTTCCTAGTTGCCCACACCGTGAAAGGATATTTCTTCTTGAGGGACCTGAAAAAGAAGCTGGATTATCGGTGGTCTTAGCGACCTAGGAGCGTGACCGCAGAGCCTAAGGGACAACTGCTTGAGGCCTGTCACACACGGCCTTCGTATGGTAAGTTTATGTGTTGGCTCTACACTTCAAAAGGCCTTACCAATGGAAACGGAAATCTATGGGATAAGGTGGGGAATGACGGTTTTACGGTTGACCATTTCTAATCCCTTCCTTTCGTTGTGATAGTGCAGCATTGCTGCAAATGTTAGTTGTCCAAAGGAAATACCTTGCTGCTGTCACACCCCTGTGCAGTCTTCAATACGACTTTGCCCTCGGGCCTTAACTTGATACTTTCAGTCTTACCGTTCTCCAACCAACCTGCTTGGTATATTAGGACCTAAGGGAACATGTGTTCCAGTCAATATAACTCGATTAAGTCATCACGACGGACAAACCCGACCACTACGTCAAGGTAAGAGCTGCGGTTGCGGATGCCAAGAATAAATTTTTGTCTATCGTCTCCATCCTTATCCTTAGTGTTGTCCAACTCGCTATTTCTTGTTGAAATGACCAGATTTTCGCATTTATAACAACAGTGTTTTATTATATAACGGAGTTTCATCTTACACAAACTATCTTCCTTAGTATCTTGTAGTTCACTGAGTACATCCTCATTGTGTTCCTGTGTATTTGAAAGATCATATTCTACTCATACACGCAGTCAAAATGCTTACCTACTTGGTAAATTGCTTCAAATCAATCAATTACTTTTCATTAATGTGCAAGAATAATAAGTATCATTCGGTAAAGTACTTGGTTAGTTTATAGATAAAAGAATGTGACCTCGTGTGTGATGTGTTGGTATTTATAATCATACAAATAGAAAAATTATATATATACCATTAGTATTTAGATAAATCCAGAATAATCAACTTTTAAATTATTACCTGTTCCAATTAGGAGGAATGCCAACATCGCACTACAAGCAAAGAAGATTGTCTGGAAGCAGACTCTAACTCTGCATCTACAATTAAAAAACAAACTGTAAAAGCACATACAAAGGAAAAGACTGATGATAATAATAATAGTAACAAAAATGTATCATCGCCTTCACCAAATAAAGCTTTTCCTAACTGTGATGATGATAATGTAACCGAAACTGATCGTAAAGATGATAAAACAAGGTATATGATTACGTATATGTAACTTTTTGTTTAGAAACATGGATTTATTTTGTTTCTTTGCAGTATATTGACATGGTAATAAATTGTGTATTGTTTTTCTCCAAGCTTAGAATAACTATTTCATAATTTAAATAGCATTATTTATTTATTTTAACATAGATATTGGTACAAAGAGGTACTAAATACATATGTGCCACACAGATCTCGTTTGATATGTGTGGGGGCTGTGATACTGCCCGGGTGCCCAAACCGAAGCAGGTGGTTTTCTTAGAGAGGCACACCCCAAGTCAGTCAGTCAGTGGTCTTGAGTGCTGTTAGAGGTATGAGGGCGGTTATCACTTCCCGGTTGCCCACACCGTGGAAGGGTTCTTCTGGAGGTACCTGAAAAGGAAATTGGATTAGAGTTGGTCATAGTGACCTGAGAGCGTGACCGCAGTGCCCAAGGGACAGCTGCTTGAGGTCGGTCACACACGACCTTTTTATGAGTAATTTTTGTGTTAGCTCCGTACTTGTTCAAACCTTACCGCCGGAGACGGATATCCGTGGGATAAGGTGAGGTGTGCATTTTTAGGGTCGACCTTTTCTAACCCCACCCCTCCTTGTGGGAAGGCAGCATCGCTGTTATGCTGGTTGTCTGAAGGAAACACCTTACTGCTGTCACACCTCTGTACAGTCAGCAGTACGACTTCGCCTTCGGACCTTGGTTTTGTTGCTTTTAGTCTTACCGCTCTTCAACCGACCTGTCTGGCATGGTAGGACCTTGAGGAACGGTTGTTCCAGCCAGTATAGCTCAGTTGCTTCATCACGATAGGCAAGCCCGACCACCACGTCAAAGTAGCAACAACGGTCAGACACACCCCAAGCCTTCGACCTGAACGTCTGATCCACAAGGCAGTGCAGCATCATAAGGAGGTGCAGTCCCATTGTAACCGGTGACCAACGATTGGTTCATACGCCATTTGTTCCCTCAGGATACTGGAGCCCATGTGCACCATTGATTTGGTATCCGGTCAAGGCGCCGGACATTCGCTTTTTGTCCTCTCAATTTCATAAAGAACACCCTACCTTCGAGAAGACAGTGAATATGACTTCCCTGGTAGTGGTTGTATGCATGTGGCCATTTGAGAACATTTTGAGAGGGAGAACTGACTCTCCTTACCTTCAGCCGTACCAGGGCATTTAGGGGTTGTATTGTTGGATGACTCCTTGTGCATATATGTTTCAACATAAACTGACCGATAATATATAATCATTTTTATACACAGTTCATAAATATGTTTGTCCATTTATAAATTTAATCCAAGGTTGATTAAATGATAGTAAATGAATCTCATCAAATGGATCGGTGTTAGGGATAATTGGAAGAAAGTTAGGGGTGGCCAAACCAAAACATGGCATCAGTGCTTGAAGTCACTGACTTCTAGTCTTAACCATATTGGTAGATGCAAACTACTTGATTGACGTCCGCCTGACTATTGTAACCAATGGTTGGAGACTCCGGGTGACATGACTCAGAATCGATCACAATGGCGTACGTAGGTGTATACACTCTCTGTCTTCTCTTAAACTAAGAGATTAAAATCACTTCATATCTTTCTTTCTACCAACTAATTCCTTCTTCCTGTATTGTAGGCAATCTTTCTTATATAAATTACCACCATTGAATTAACTAATTCTGTGAATCCGGTGTTCATGTTGTGCTAATGCGGTATGGCAACTTGGACCGATGCATATATGTGCCTAGTCCTACGTTGTAACTAACTGACTGACTGATTAAATGGACAAGTTATCACTTAATCCCTTAACAACAACTAAGCTTCATTTATTTATTCATATTCTATTTGATTCCTTATTTATTATTAGAAATACTTATATTATATTTTTTCCATTATATAATAGAGTCTCTCATCAACCAAAGAAAGATTTAGATACTTATTTAAATAAAAAGAATCAAAAAATACCTGGAATAATAACAGCTCGTTTACGAGTAACTACTGATGAAGAATTAACTGCTGCACGTCAACGTTATCTAGATAGAAAAGCAGCTGGAATACATGCAGTTATAGTTGAATCCGATTAATTATTTGATTAAATGTTGTTCTTCTCATTTGTTTTTTCTTTGTATATGAATTCATATTTTTATATTATGGGAAATAATCTTTAAATTGGGGAAAAATCTACCTTGGTAACAATCCCTGTTTAATATCGATGAACTGAGAATTGATATTATTATTATTATTATTGTTATTATTATTATTATTATTATTATTATTATTATTATTATTATTATTATTGTACAAAATGTATTGTAAATACTTTATCATTGGAAATATATACTCATATTATTTGTATACAGATTTTTCATTGTAATTCGTTTTTCACATAGTAACTGAATTAATTTAAGTAAATATTTCCCCTCCTACCTCCGTCAACCCTCACCTTCGTGACACCTTCTCCTGTTATGGTTTATTGTACTTCTAAGTATAGTTGATAAGAGATCATTTCAAATGGGATGTGATATATTTACTACATTATAAATAATTGTATATAGCGATTTTGTCCATTTTTGTATTGTATGCGAATCGATTGGGAATTGAAGAGGTAGGTTGATTATGAATACAGTGGTCTTGAGTGCCGTTAGAGGTATAAGGGCGGTTATCACTTCCCGGTTGCCCACACCGTGGAAGGGTTCTGCTTGAGATGCATGAAAAGGAAATTGGATTAGAGGTGGTCTTAGTGACCTGAGAGCGTGACCGCAGTGCCCAAGGGACAGCTGCTTGAGGTCGGTCACACACGACCTTTTTATGAGTAATTTTTGTGTTAGCTCCGTACTTGTTCAAACCTTACCGCCGGAGACGGATATCCGTGTGATAAGGCGAGGTGTGCATTTTTAGGGTCGACCTTTTCTAACCCCACCCCTCCTTTTGGGAAGGCAGCATCGCTGTTATGCTGGTTGTCTGAAGGAAACACCTTACTGCCGTCATACTTTTGTACAGTCAGCAGTACGACTTCGCCTTCGGACCTTGGTTTTGTTGCTTTTAGTCTTACCGCTCTTCAACCGACCTGTGTGGCATGATAGGACCTTGAGGAACGGTTGTTCCAGCCAGTATAGCTCAGTTGCTTCATCACGATAGGCAAGCCCGACCACCACGTCAAAGTAGCAACAACGGTCAGGTCATGCAAATCGATTAAGAGTAAATTAACCGTTTTGATTTCGTAAATTACATTGATGTTATAACTTGTCGCTTTGTGCCTTATTAATATATAATGTTATGATACTGTCAATTAGAGAACAGTGGTTTATCAACCGGACTAATGACGCATAAACCCTTACGTACAGTCTAGACACGTTATCGGTTCTTATTGCTGACTAGCCCTGACTGTTGGGTCCAGAACACCAATCTCTGTCTATGCAATATGAATCATGTATTTCAAACATACTGGGTTTATATACAAACCAGACAGGTCACGTCGTACCATAAAATTGAAAATAACATTTGTACAAGATCTAGGCAAAAGTGGTTGTGAATGTAGGAGATAGTAATTAACAGACTGAGTATAACTCAAGAATAGTGAATCGTATAATAATAGTTCATAGGTTGAAATAAAGTTTATAAAAAGAGGAACATGAATATGAATAGTTTAGTTTCTCAACAACCATGCAACAAAAATATATGTGTATAGTATTAGTCCAGACATAGATTCCAATAGTTACCATTCATTACTCTCATCGGGATATAACAATCGGAAACAGATTTTAGGTTTTATAACTTTTTGGTTTTTAATGAATCTATGGAATCAAAATCAAGTTACCAGAATCACTTATTATCCGTTGTATTAAAAACATTGTATCTTCAAATCAAATATGGATTAAGAATTAGTATCGTTACTTAGTAACTATTCTAGTCTACCATTTAGAATTGTTGTGAATAATGTAATTCATGATTAAAAGTTTATTATTTCAGCCTCAAATTTCCTGTACATTATTCAGATAACTGAACTGACTGGTTTATAGTTTACAAAACCAGCAAGAAACGAGTAGTTATCTTGTCCTAGTATGGTATTTAGAAGTGTTCATCCATGGCTCCATCAGAGATTGAACCCAGTACCTGAAAATCTGTAACCAGTGAAGTTCTACTGTTGGGAATATGAGGCAATTATTTACTAGTGGCATTTAAAGATATCTGATCAGTATGACGATTTGGTTGAAATTAGACATGTAAACGACTGGATATTAACTCTGGTCTTAAAGTCAGACGTTTGCGATAAGGCCTAAAAGCTACTCATTCGATTCCGGCAAGGTCATATATAAATACTCTCATAGAATTGATCTTTAACGTCGTCGTTTCTATCATTGGTGGGTGCATAACATTGGATAATGTACATTGTGATCCCCTCCTTCTTTGTTTTGAATGATGCTTTGATGATTCTGGATCCGTGGGATTCCCATCCTACAAGTGCATTTCGTGCTTGCTTGGACAGCATTAGAGCAACTCCCTGAGTGTGTGGAGCATTTTCCTCTTCTTGACCGGAGTATGGCAGCATCTCTCCCGTATTTAGCCTTTGTTCTCCAGCTTGGGTCCACTGGGTTTTGCTGATTCCCAGTACTGTCAAGTTGTATCTCCTCATTTCCGTTGCTATTTGACTGGTCTTCCCGGTCTCCCACATTGTCCGGACGTTCCATGTACCTATAAAATTTGTTCCTCTGGTTGTTAGAAGTGGCACCGGCCTCGTGGCTTCCGAAGAAACTGGGCTTTCTTTATGAAGCGTTATATTTCTTCTAACTCCCAGGGCAGAGTTTAAATGGTTTGAATTATTTTTACTGGTTAGCGTTTTTTTAGCGAGTTAGTTTTCTACGGGATGAGGACGCTAACCCCATGCCCAACCCTCCTCTTTTACCCGGGCTTGGGACCGGCAGTAACTCTAGAAGAGCTACAGGCGGAGTATTTGCAACGTTCGTTCCTTAATAATAACAACGACAAAACACCCGAAATTTTATTGTTAGTCATTACTCTATTTCGACAGATAGTATTCATGAATCTACAATCATATGACTGATCGTACTAGAGAAAGTACAAATAACATTAAAACAACCAGTTTAAACTTATTACCCATACTTGCCCCATAATAATGAATAATTCTTCCCACTTTTCCCCCATTCCACTCCTCAAACCTATTGCCTAATAATAACTTTTAAGATGCATGTAAAAGTCAATAATTTCTTCAGTAATCACTAGTTTACATTGAAATTCGAACGTAGTTATAGCCAAGGATGGTTTGTTTCTTAGCATGTTATTGTTCTATATATTTGTGCCCGAAAAGGTCTTCACCCAGACATAATGATCACATATTGCGTTTAAGTTTAAGCTAATCACCTTTTGTAATACTGTTAATTGAGGTATAAAGAAAAATACTCATAGTAGTTTTGATATCAACCACAAAATACTTTCTTATCGTAAAGGTTTCATGTCAATATACGACATTTTCTCACACTTAGTATTCACTCTTGTGTGAATGTCAACTATGTATTGGGAAAGGTGAATAGTAAATAATAGTGGAATTCAGGACGCTCGTTCCGTGCTATTTGGAACCCGTCAGCTAGATGTAACTGTAACACAGAGACGATGTCTACTTCCATGTTCGAACCGTATACCGTTCGCTTCTAAAGCCGTCACGTTATACACTTAGCTACTAAGTCCAGATAGCCACTGGTTTGTATAGGTGTACCCAGCTGAGGAGTCTTAAATCGAAGGAAACGTCCGTCTAGGATTCCACCGCTAACCATCTGAGATGTTTGGATACAAACACAACATTTACAGAATCAAATGAATACATTCCTATTTCAAGGTTACCAATCAGCTGTGAGTAGCCTATAATTACAATAAAGAATATAATTTTAAACAGAAGTTTGAAGTACTTCAGTTTAGTGAAGCTGATCTGGTTGTTAGAAACTGATTCAAAATTCGGTATACGAGCATAGCGACATAACTCATTATTAAATGTAGTTTAGATTGACTCAATATATATATATATATATCAGTATAGGGTTGTGGAGATTGTTAAGTTTTTTGGTTAAGATCATGAACCGATTGATGTTAGACCACCATTAAAAACCTGGATGCTATGGATGGCCGTTTCGTCCTGTTGCGGGACTCCTCAGAAGTGCGCACCCACAATCCCACTCGCGGGACTCAGACCCAGGGTCATAAGTCTTGTGCGCGAACGCCTAGCCTCTAGACCACTGAGTCAACATCCAACGGTGTTAGTCTTACGTCAATCAATCCATGAAATCGCACGACCATCTTCCATTGTACTGAGGTAGATACCTGTATCTACTCGACATGGATTAGCTGTACTGGTCACGGTTTCTCACTAGAACTCCGAGAATTCCCTCACGAAGCTAGTCCCTAGTGAGCACATGGTAATTATCAGTATAGGGTTGTGAAGATTGTTAAATGTTTGGTTAAGATCATGAACCGATTGATGTTTGACCACCATTGGAAACCTGGAAGCACTGGATGGCCGTTTTTTCCTATTGTGTGACTCCTCAGCAGTACGCTTCCAGTGCTTCCAGGTTTTCAATGGTGATCTGACATCAATAGTTTCATGATTTCAATCAATATTTATAGTTTTAAAGATTTCTCATGTAGACTAGAAAGAGTGGTACTTTCAATCTGCATAATCGTGGTAACAATAAGGTTTTATGTAATCGTGATAAAGTTGATTGTGATATATGGACCGTAATACTGATGTGTCACATGAAATGCAAATGTGATAATTGTAAATGAACACATTGTATAACAATATAAATGAAAGAAGCTTAATTACTTACACCTGTTACTCCTATTGGAAGAGCATAGGCTGTCTACCAGCATTCTCCATCCAACTCTGTCTTTGATAATCTTTTCCAGTTGCTATTCATCTTTTTTTGTCTGCTCCCAATTCCCGACGTAGTGTGTTCTTCGGCCTTCATCTTTTCCGTTTCCCTTCGGGATTTTAGGTAAGCGCTTGCCTCATGATGTAGTTTGACAATTTTCGCAACGTATGCTCTATCCACTTACAACATCTTATCCTATTTTTTTCAGCTCGAACCTGATTTGTTTTCATTCATAGTAGACTGTTACTGATGTGAGAATCTAGTAAAAAGTATTAATGTTTGGCAAGACTATAATTTATGAATGAACCAATCAGATATGAGGTAACAGATCTCGAATTTTGGCACGAAATTCATTCATCCATCTGGTTAA